ATGAAGATTAAAATCGCTTCATTTCTTTCTTCCTATGAACTGAATTTTTCTTCCTGTATTATATGTAATCTTTCTTTTATATATTACCACCATTGACTTAACCATTCCTATGAATCCGGCGTTCGTCTTCTTGTGCTAATGTGGTATGGCAAGTTGGGCCTACGTTGTAGCTGACTGACTATTAAAAACCTAAAAGCACTGAATGGTTGCATCGCCTTAGTATGAGACTCATCAACAGTGTGCATCCACACTCCCACATGTGGGGTTCGAACCGAGGACCTTCAATCTGGCGCGCAAACACTTAACCTCTATTTCGCTATCTTAATGTCTAACTTCGATCGATCTGTGATCTTGCACAACCCTTCATCCATTGTCTGAGGTGGATAACTCGCTCACATCCGATAAAGGTTGGACTTCACTGGTCATGGCTTGTCACTAGAACTTAAGGAAATCCATCTTAAAGTTGGTTATCAGTCAGCATATGATTATTATTGGTATAGGGCTTTGTGGAGATTGTATTATTATTATTATTATTCTGCGTTAATCGTCCAGTTTGTTTTACTCGCGTAGATCCCACTCTAATCATAAGATATCTCTTCATTCATAATTTGAAAATACCGCAGCTATTCGCAAAATAAAACAATTATTAATCATCCCTTTATTCAATACTGATTTTGTTTAATTACAAATTGCAAAATATATACGTAACACATTAAAACAAATTCTATTCTTCTAGCCACTTAACTTCTGAATATTTAAAAAGTGTGAGAAATATAAATATATATCAGCACATGTGCTGATGATTTTGTACAGAAGAACGATGAAAGCTCCACGACCAAACCATCCACCTCAGCTACAACTCCTTTCCACTATCTCAAAAAAAATTTTTTTTAAATTTCCCAGCTCTGATTAATTCTCATTCATCTTGTTAATCTTAAACATTCTCAATGGATTCCGCTTATGTTCATCGGTCGTTATATGTGTTTAATCCGGTTAGGAGGAAAATTGTTGAACTATCGTAGTGATTCCGCTGATGATAAATTCTAGGATTGTTATAAAAGTATGTCAGTATATTCTATTATTACTTCAAAGCGAAATCGTATTCTGTATTTGTAAAATATAAAAACAATACATAGAATGCACCATTTGTATATCTTGATTAAATTCTTTCTTACAATCTTTATCGTTCTTTCATTCCTATTGGTACTTGCACTGCTTTCCTCTTTTTTTTCTCTTATGTCATGAAGATTCCTGCTTTTAATTCTTGATATATACTACTTATTTCTATCCGTATAAATAACACACTACAATGCATGTAATTAGTTTGCTAAAACAGAATAATTTGTTAAAATATTACTATGTCTGCTAAACGCTCAAGTGACTTGGTTCTTGGTAACGGGATCCGTGAATTGAATGACACAAGTAAAAACACGAAGATGATAGATAAGGATTTATATAACCCTAAAAATAATATATGAATAAACTACATTTCATGGATTCGTTGAAGTTAGACATTAACACCATTGGATGTCGACTCAATGGTCTACAGATTAAGCGAAGACCGATAGGTCCTTGGTTCGAATCCCATGACTGGGATCGTGGATGTGCACTGCTAAGGAGTCCCATACTAAGACGAAACGGCCGTCCAGTGTTTCCAGGTTCTCCATGGTGGTTTAGCTTTAGTAGACTCATCAATTCAACTATTAAATTACATTGCTGATGATTTATTTACAGTTAGATTCATATACATTGAACTCCATCGTATTTATTGTCAATTATTCAATAACTTACTATGTGAACACATATTTACAGTATCATAAAATTAAGCATACTTAACTCCTTGAATGTCATCGGCACTTAGAAAAAATTGGTTTAACATATCTTTTTTTCGATTTATTGGGTCCATGGTCATTGTATCAAATGCTTACTAAGTTGAAACATGAACATAGCTCTGGAGCTTTAAAAGGTCACCATACTTTAACACTTCGCTACATCTTGTATTCTCTCTTTGGAGTGTTTACACTATAGATTCACCTTTAGTGAACTTATATATATGTATATGTATTTAGTCGGTCAGTTGCATTGAATCGTGTGTAAAATTAATATGGCTTATGTTGATCAAGTAACATTTTATTCATATTTATTATAGTACCATAGTATAACTGTAGGTAGGCATTTCTGACAAGTTTTAGCTAGCACTGAACCTAGATGCAGGATCTTTCGTCGACTATCTTCAACCACTTACAATCAAGGCTAATTGACGGAACATCGAGTCACTTAAACTAGTGTCTACATTGAAATTCGGATGATAGAATTTGATCAGCACTAAGGATTAAATAAGTATAACATTGGTCAGCACTCACTGATAAATCAATTGTGAATACATCTCAGTCCTATTGGAGGTCAGTCTCTGTTCAAATAAGAATGACTTAGATTGTTTAGCTTTATGATACAGCATTGAATTAGACATGGATCATCAGTTCCAACAAGACAACTAGCAATTAGAACGAAAACTAAGACAGAGAAGGTTTCCGGTGGATTACTTTCAACCGACTAACATCAGTAGCATTTACCCTTAAAAACAAACTTTGTATCTTTAATACAAGTACATGAAGCTTGTGCTTATCTATATTAATTATCAGAATATATACGACAGAAATGTTTTAAAAATGTTTTATAGAAAGGTCATAAATAGAGAATATTCATAGGTTACTAGTATTCGATCATAGGTGTCTTCCAAGCATTGCTCTTATATCCTGAGGCCACTGAGTAAGTAGTGCAGTTGTTAGGAAACGAGTACTAGGTAAGGATGGCAAATAAATTGATGAAGTAGTGAAACTTCATCAGTTGAGATGGCTGGGACACGTGTTACGTATGCTCAACCACCGACTACCCCGACGTGCGCTGTTTTATGGTGTAGGAGTAGGTTGGAAGAAAGCTAGAGTCGGCCAGACCAAAACATGGCACAAATCCATAAAATCACTGACAAGTGGAATGAGCAATGTTGGTAGGTGTAGACTAGCTGGTTGGGGACCGCGAGATGATAGCAACCGATGGTTAGAGACCCTGGATGAAATGGCTCAAAATCGTTTGCAATGGCGCAGGTGCATCCACTCTTTGTGTTCTCCCAAATTCTAATCTTCTGAATTCTTCACGTCCTTTTTTTCCGCTTTCCAAATTTATTTCACTGGATTATACTCCTTGAATAACATCTTCTAACTCTAATCTTTTCGATTAATGCTTATACTTTTACTACCTCTACCACAGTGGGATTTGAATTGACAATTGTATCTCTGTGCTAATTTTGGTATGGCAAATCGAACTGATGAAAGTACACACCAAGTTCTATGTTGTTTCTGATTGACTGACTGACATAATTAACCTATTGTACTTCAATACTCATATTCTTTAATAATATGTTTTATTTTATGATTATTTTTTTTACTTTTTATTCAGTCAATTACACATAATTCATCTGCAACAATTATTTCCATTATTCTACTTATACTTGGTGTAATGATACTACTTATTTTATGGATTAAATCAAATAATCATAGAATGATAAATAATACATCAAATTATCGTTTTGATAGTAGACATTTTAAAGTGAATACAAGTAATGCATTAAATCGTTTACATAATTGGTTTATACCATGGAAAAGAAATAATTTCACTGGATTTATAAACAATAATAATATCGATGGTTGGAATAACACTGATAGAATGTCTTCAACTTATAATGATAGTCGAACTGTTTTATGGCCACCTACATCTATCACTAATCCGTCGATGCATAAACAAACTATGAATTCAAATCTATTCAAAATCAATTGTATACAACCAAAAATATTTAATAAACAAATAAAAACTACTCAAATGAGTAGTAATAATAGTAATAAGGATATTCCTCATTTATTAGATCCCAATAATAATAGTAGTAGTACAATGATTATACCAAAAAAGTCTATTTCAATTCCAACATTCAAAAAAGGGAACAGCGGTGTTCTACATCAATATTTTCATCGTAATGATACAGATATGAGTAATTTATTAGAAGCAGAAGAAATTCCATCTACATCTTCATTATTATCATTATCATCAATGAATATAATTACTAATAATAATAGTAGTAATACTTGTAATTTGAAACCATCATTCGATGATCCATTAACTTCATTTGCATATAAAAATTCTTTAATAAGTAAGCTTCGTACTTTTTTTTCATCATTTTAGTTGTATTACTTGTTGTTGTAATACTACTTAAATGCTCTACTATGTGTATTGTTTTTTCTAGTGAAATTGCATTTGAAACTACTACAATTATTCACTTGGTATTGCTTATTTGAATTTTCCCATTAATGTTTAATACTGCAATCTGATTAGCTGACGAGTCTCAAATAGGATAAAACGCGAGTCGTGGATTCTACTGCTAACCATTATTCATCTTCACTACCGTTATTATTCTATTGATTGATTGAAAGCTTCAGGATCTTTAAATGAGCATAATAATTAATTCAATGATACAGTTAGAATTTGGAAATCCACTTTTCCGAATTTTCTCAGTATACAAAATATCGATGACAGTCATCTTGTCTATAGAGACTAGTCTCTTTTTTTAATATCGAACAGTTGGATTACCAGACTGCTAAGTTACTGGAAATCAAAATTGATTGACCGTTAAATAGTGACATGTACAATGTTCGTCTAGTCCTTTAGATGCTGCTCGAATTCTATCAATCAAGTAATAATTTAACCATTAGTTCAAAGCAGTCAATCGCTTAGTGGTAATGTCTTATATTATGAAACTGGTTAACACGAGTTCGAACCCTAAAGGAAGCACTGATTCCCTAAAGATTACATGTACTCTTTGCCGACAAGTGATAACTAACATGAAACCTTCGTAGCGTGGCGTCGAGTCGCGGTTGACTATGGTCATCACTACGGGAAGACTACGTGCCAGTTAACCGATAAGATCCCCTGTAAGCCAAATATCAGAAGGCAGTTGATGGCTGTAGTCGAGATGTATTTGTTGGCGATCTTGTGGTATTGAAAGAATACCGAGATCGTGCCAAAGGAGTACAAGTGTGGTTACTGAACGTAACCGAATGCGTGCAAGGCCACAATTAACAGAAGAAAGTATGTCTTTAGTACAGTCAAATAAACAAGTACAGTAAAACAATCCCTGGTACAATTGGTTATAATAATAATTGTTTCCATTAAACCAATCGCGTTCTCTTGATAAAAGTAGGTCACTACATTTTGTTGAAGTGGAGTTTCTCTTCAGCTACCTCCAAACACCTGGCATCTCAATACTGGGAATCAAACTGGGTTATTTAATACAATGAAAATTAATGTGAATTTATATGAAAACCACCTTTAATCAAAAATTGACGTTGTACTTAATTTCTTTTTTAATTATATTGGACATTCAATGTCCTCAACAGTGGCCCAAAGGTTTTTGTTTGATCTTCAGTGCTAATCGGTATCACATACTGAATTTTCTAATCACAATCCAGATTATAATTTTCCTATCCCACATTTGCTGTTACAGCTTATATTCTAGCGTCCTTTACCTTGAATAGTTATACTTCCTGACCGATACAATTCACATCGAGATAATTTAAGCTTTGCTCCTATTGCTTTGCCTATTCGCACACTTTTTCCAATTCTCAACCTTGAGTCCGTAACAGGGAAGTCTCGATCCAAGCTTTTACTGTTATTTCAAGCACATGTGAGTGGCCGAACAAAGTATTGATAAGTGAATATAACATGACTACTATATTGACTATCACGACAACCGAGTATCATTTGTATGAAATAATCTGATTATATTCTCTTTAGATACTACTCATATGTATACATCGAAACTTTTACAGTTCACTCACTCATAACATGTAGTTTCAATTCCATGACACTTAATTTAAACATAAAGTAAGTTGTCTTGACTTTATATACTCAAATAGAAACAGACTTTTATGCAAAATTATTGTGACTTTGTGGGCCGCTAGTTGTTACGTAATTTATTCACCAATCAAAACACGACTTATTCACTCTTGTACCGCACTAAACCAATGACGTACGTCCGGTGTGATCAGCCTAGTGTCCTATTGGTCCGTTGCTCGCCTAGCCCGTCCAGTTGAGTCCAGAATGCTAATAACAGACTCCGCCATGAGAATCATTTATTTCAGACATACTGGGTTTATATATCAAACAAACAGACTGCATCGTACTATAAGACAGGAAATAACATTTGTACACAATAAAGCCAAAAGGTGGCTGTGAACGTGGGAGGCAGTAGTCAATAAACTGAACATAACTCAAGAACGGTAAATCGTATCATAATAGTTTATAAGTCAAAATGAAGCTTATAATAAGAGGAATATAAATATACACAATCTAATTATTGAATAGTTATACCATAAGAATGAATAGATAATATGAGTCCATCAATCGGTTTCAGAAGTTACTCGTAATCTAATCTTCCCTAGTATATAACAAAAATGACCTCAAAAATCTAATAAAAACTAATCTCACAGATAGAAATCATGAATCAGTTGAAGCCAGACCACCATGGAAAACCTGAAAGCACTGGACGACCGTTTCGTCCCAGTATGGGACTCCTCAGCAGTGCGCATCCACGTCCCCGCACCTCGCGGTATTCGAACTCACGACCTACTGGCTTCAACTGACTCATGATTTCTATCTGTGAAGTTTCTAAAATCTCCACAAACCCCTTCTGATAAAAACTAATCTATTAGACAGATCAACACTTTTGTTTACTCTCTATAAAGTAAACAATCTTCATAAAAAGCTCAAGTTAGCGGTTGAACTGTCGTGTTCTATTAATCAACAGTTTCATAGAACCATATATCTCAATACAATTTATTTTCGTTTTCCATTTTATGATACATTATTTCCTTTTCTTATGTAGAATTATCCAATGGATCGACAAGGGTATACAACAAGAATAATGAATGTAACACTTTGTCGGTTACTAATACTGCTAATAATAATAATAATAATAATAATAATAATAATCATTCTGGTGAATTACATCAAACTATGCTACAACAAAGTACACTATTCACTAATCATCATAAAGACATTTTAGATCAATCAATGAAGGAATAATCCTTTACTTCACTTTAAACTCTTCCAGTACACATAGTTTCCAGTATAAAGTAAAGGAAAGAGAAGATAATGAAATCAAACAATACTGACGACAACAATAACATTATTATTAATAATCAGAAGACAAAATTTGAATATACAAAAAAAGGAAGAAAACTGAGTCTTCTTTCTTTTTCTAACACTTTATGTTATTGTTGTTGTTGTTGTTTGCTCTTTCCTTTTTTGTTTTCTATTCAATGTTCATTTGTTCTTTTGGTTTTCATTTGTTTTATTTTCTCTATTTCGATGTTATTACTAATAATGATGATGATTAATCTCATATTGAATAATTTTCTTACTAAATGTACTCAAACACCTATATATATATAGGTGATCTTTTCATCTCATTCGAAACGATGGCACTATTACGAAAACTGGTGTAATCTAGAAAAGTGGATTTAATAACCTTACGCTGGTCAATAATTCAACGGTACATAAGATGAAAAGTTTATTCTTCACTAGAAAACTTTTTTGTCTTGAAAAGTAGTAATTATACTAATTGAAATTACTCACTTTCACGTGTACTTCGGATAATACGTTAATACGATAATATGACTAGTAGTCACGTTATATCAAACCTAGGATTCATAACTCAGAATAGAGAACCATAGTATATACTAGATAATATTTTATTCAACACAATTACAAGCAATCACTCACTGAGTTCGAAGTCAAAATCAATGAAGGGGAAATGGAATCACATATTTAGTAGTCCGTGTCTCATATCAATAAGTCGTGTTAGCATCAATCTGAAAAAGAGACATCAGACACATAGAACTTATGAGATGTTGCTAGAACTGTGGTCCAGGAAATGCCTTTCGTCTCATTTAAGAATCGTCAGATGAAATTACCTGCATCCTAAAGTTTTAATCCAGTGCCTTTCGTTCCGAAAGCCTTGTGCATTATCTGTATAGCCAACCAAAACTGATCAAATTCAGTCAATTAGAATTAAAAGGATGATCCAAAATGTTGATGATTAAGTTGAGATACATGCAAGGCCAATAACTCTTCATTTGTTTCAGGGCTAAGAGCTTCATTGGAAGAATCTCTTGCTTCATTGTCCTTCGGTACTGCCACAATCTCATGTACATTTAACAAACCATCACCTTGCTATGAGCTGGACATTTTGTTTCGTACACAACTGGGTTTGAACCCACAACAGTGCATGTTTTTGGAATGACCATTACTGAACCACTCTCGGCATAAAAAATAAATTATTTTCTGGAAATATGTGGAAAGTTCACCCAAGACTGCTCCAAGCGATTGCTGTTGAAAAGCTGACATTTGCTGTTGTAATAGTAATTGCGATTGTTCACAAGAGAGTTCCGATTTTTTTCTTTTCACTGTCATTAACTCCAAAAACCTCTGGCAATTATTATGAATTATTTCTCGAAATCCACGTCGCCAATTGTTATAACTTGTCCTGTTAATCATCACGTGATAAGATCGTCAATTAGAATACGACTTACATAACCTTGACCAATGACGCGTTAAACTAGTATGGGAAGCTTAGAGTGGGTGTAGTAATCAACACAATAACGATTTTTACAAGTCTTGACCCACTTGAAAGCCTGTCGGGTCAACATGAGGAAAATGTTTCCAGCACATAATGTCGTTGAGAACGTAAAATAAGTTCGGTAGTCATTTCCAGTATATCTTAAATGACTAGTTAGGAAATAAAGTCACTCACGTGTGTGATATCAGACGTCACTTTGTTTCAATAAAAGTACCTAATCCACCAAGGCTCAAGAATATTATAAATCAAATAGATGACTTGAAAAAGACAGCATTCATGACTCAAACTTGAAACTGCCATGCAGTGTCAGTGAACCACTTGTTCCATGAAATGTGCATCGATGCAACAATTTTTATAGGTACATAGAACATTCGAACAGTGAGAGAAACGGGGAAGACCAGTCAGATAGCAGAGGATCTGCGGAAATACAGTTTGGCAGTACTCGGAATCAGCGAAAGCCGTTGGACCCGAGCTGGACAACAAAGGTTAGAAACGGGAGAGATTCTGTTATACTCCTGTCCGGAAGCGGAAAATGCTCCATACACTCAGGGAGTTTCTTTGATGCTGTCTAAAGAAGCACGAACAACAGCACTTATATGATGGGAATCTTACGGATCCAGAATCATCAAAGCATCATTCAAAACAAAGAGGAAGGGGATCACAATGAATATTATCCAATGTTATGCACCCACCAATGAAAGCAACGACGACGTTAAAGATCAATTCTACGAGCGGCTGCAGTCAATCATAGAGAAATGCCCAAGAAAGGACATCACCATTCGGATGGGAGATCTAAATGCCAAAGTCGGAATAGACAACATCAGGCATGAAGATATCACGGGACGACATGGATTGACTGGGAGAGAGCAACAAAAGTGGGTAGAGGTTTGCAAATCGATGTACATTCAACAAAATGTTTATACGCGGCACAATAACCCCACGAAAACGCATATACAAAGCCACATGGATCTCCACGGACCACACTACAGAAAACCAGACAGATCACATTTGCATCAATAAAAAATTCCGAAGGACAGTGGAAGATGTGAGAACCGGAAGAGGAGCTGACAGTGCTTCACATCATCACCTGGTTGTGGCCAAGATGAAAGTGAAGCTAAAGAAACACTGAACAACTGGGGCAGCATTATAAAGGTTCAATACAACCTTCCTTTGACATATTGACGATCTCAACGAATTCAAGGTAGTTCCAAGCCTTACAGGGTCTACTGAAAGAAGAATCTACCATGGAGGATAAATAGAAAGGGATCAAAGAAGCATTAAATTCAACGTGTCAGGATGTTCTGGGCCATCATCATAAAGAATGGTGCTCTGTATGGACCCTAGACAAGATTCAAGAAAGGAAGAACAAGAAGATAGCAATTAACAACAGCTGAGCAAGAACAGAGAAAGTTAACGCAAAGTGCGAATACACAGGAGGAAACAAGCAAGTGATGAAGAGCATTAAAGCAGACAGGGAGAAATACGATGAAGAACCAGCAACGATGGCGGAAAAAGCTGCAACAGAAGGAAATGTAGAATAACGATATGATGTACCGAAGAAACTAGCCGGTAGATATAATAGACAAGAGAGACCAGACAAGGACAAAGAAGGAAAGACAGCCATTGAGATTCAACAACAGAGGAACAGGTGGGTAAAATACTTCGAGGAACTCAAGAATAGACCGGCTCTATTGAATACACCACACATCAAAGCAGCACGGAGAAACCTTCCCATAGATGTCGCTCGAACAGTGATCGAACAAATCAAGATGACCATCAGACAAATCAACAGTGGGAAAGCAGCATGATCTGACAATATACCAGCTGAATCATTGAAGCCAAATATACTACTATTCAGGAAGAAATAGGAGGAAGAACAAGCGTCGACGGGCGGGAAACAAAGACGCCCCATCAAGGTACCAAAGAATGGAGATCTGAGCCAATGTGAGCACTACAGGGGCATCACACTACTCTCAGTACAAGGAAACGTTTTCAACAGTGTTGCTGAACTGGATGAAGGACAAGTAGACGTCCAGCTTCTAGATCAGCAGACTAGATTCCATAAGGATCAGTCTTGCACAGACCAAATTGGGACACTACGGATCATTGTCGAACAGCCAGTTGAATGAAATTGGTCCCTATACATCAATTTCGTTGATTATGAGAAGGCGTTTGACAGTGTGTATATGAGAACATTATGAAAACGTCAACAATGTGGAGTTCCTGATAAGATTGTCAACACGATCCGGAACTCATACCACGGAGTGCACTGCAAAGTCGCACACGGACGACAGTTGACAGATGAATTCCAAGTAAGGACTTGGGTCAGAAAAAAATGACGTCATATACCATGATAGGACCGATCCTATTTGTCCTGTCATTAAACTCAAATGGTTTGGTATCAAGTCACCATTAATCGGCCGGCCCACTCGGTATAGAGAAAAACGATTTTCTAAGATCAGGGTGAGCCTCATTTTTTCTCGGGCTACGGAATGTACTAGTGAAGTCCCTCACAGTTCAGCACTAGAACTTACTCATTTCCTAATTTGTATAAATGACCTTCAGCAGGTATAGCCCGATTTTTTACTTTTCGCTGATGATGTGAAACTTTTGAGAGACATTTTCGACTGAGATGATAAGTCGGAACTTCAGGATGATCCGACTTGACTTCAAGGTTGAGAGGACAACAACGGACTCCCCTTTGACAGTTCAAAGTGTATTTATAGTGAAAATTCAGTTTGTTGTAATTACCATACTTGTAGCTGCATTGCTTTTAGCGAAACACGTTTTGGAAAGTAACAAAATTTCAAGAGCGCTTATTATTTTGCTCAGAACAATCACATAACTCTTGGTGTTTAAGTCTACAGTTTTAGTCAAGGTTTTAAAACTGTAGGTCGAGTGGTGCTCGTTGGAGCCAGGATGGAAAATATCAGCGATGATGAACTGCGATCAGCTTTGTCTAGATATTTAGATGTTGTTCCACCAGTGACAGGTAAGCCTTTGGCTTACATTAGTGTGAAAATTAGAATCAACTCGAGCAACTTTGATCGCTAAGCTGAAAAAGTGCATATCAAATGGTTCTGAGAGTTTATTAAAGGATACCCCACAAAACGTCGTAGATAATCTTATCAACGTAACAGAAGATAGGTAACTGAGTGCGAAAGCTTACTTTTTTTCTGTAGACCAATACAGACTTTAATTTCCGACAATAATCATGAATCACCGAAATATGAGACGACTGAGGTACTACAGAGGTAAGTGGTTTTCATTAATTTACGGAGTAAATATTCGTATTTTTAAAATATCTGGTCACAACCAAAAAATGTCTGTGTCGAATCTAGTGGTCAGACTGTTTCTTTAGGAGAATGATAGTGTCCAAAATTCGATGAATTCCAGATCTTTATATGTGCCAAGGTGACTTCCCTTGGTTTCACTACTTAATTGTCGACTGATATCCAAGGAAATCACCTCCAAGTGTCAATGAATCACTATGTAGGCCCTCTCAGTTATTGTCTGAAGTTGGCTAAATACTTAAAGAGGTTAAGACAGAAGGGTTTGTTCGGGATGCCTGTAGTGTCAACGTCATGCGTCAATAAAAAGACCAATAAAGCTCACTTTAAGTATAATCAAGTCTGATTGTTGGGACGGGACTTAGTCGCCTGCATTTTAACTAGCCGAACCTATTATAAATCAAGACCACTGTTTTTTGTCCACTCACTGTTGTCTGATAAAATCGCTTCCCTTGTGTCGCACCTAACTTGGTAAAGCATCGGAAAATGCCCCTATACGGAAGGTTTTATAGCGTCATGTTGAGTGTAAGGTCACCAAAATGTCTCAATACTAGTCAGTCGGTAAGTAAATCCGTGCTCTTACCCGTTAACCATATTTGTATTAAAACTAATGATCACCGAACTTCTTGTATCATCAAATATTTCATAACATGTCAGTTATGAGCCACTTGAGTACCGTTATTCCTCATAATCGGTGTGGCTT